GCCGGCAATTCTAACTTTTAAGTTGGTTTTATGAAAAAAATGTTTTTAAGCGTTTTTGGCTCATATCTAGTGTCCTTTATTCTAAAAATATACCAATAATGACAATTTTTATTTTACTATCTAATTTAGTTAACAATAGGTAAATACTGCAAAAAGTATCAAGTTGACTGCTTTCATCTAAGTAAAGTCATAGGGAGTTTTTTCATGTTTACATGGTTATATCACACTATGAAAATTCACTAAATATGAAATTATTGGTGGATTAATATAATTTAGGATGTTCTCGACCTCAAACAACCTTTAAAAGTTGAAGTTGTCACATTACCTATTTTCGACTTTTGGCACACTTTGAATTGATTCTGGCCCACTGTGCGCCCCTTCTCATGTTAAAGTTGACGACCAATGCCGTAGCCAGGATTTTCAAACAGTGCAAGACAATATTCTAACAAATTCTAACAATATGGACCCATTTTACACACCAATATGAATAATCTGGACCCACTTTTTAAAATTTTACCCATTTTAAGCTAAATGTGAGAAATCTAAACCCTTTTTTCAAAAAGTGGACCCATTTTATGCATAAAATTATATGATTTGCACCCATTTAAAAAAATGTGGACCCATTCTTTGTGGACCCATTAGAAAAATGATGTGGGCCTGTCCCAAATGCTCCAATAGCTGGCGGCATTGTTGATGATGCACTGAGACCTTACTGCATATTTCCCTAAACTAATGGAGACATTCTTTGAATGGTTTAATCATAGATAGATGGTGTACTGTTTTCTGAATGAACTGAAAAACACGTAGCCCATACTTAGTCTTATCATTAATTTACATGTCACGACCATTTTCTTCTGATCGCATAGTTTGTCCCGTAGAGGACGGTATTAATTTTCTGAATACTGTACTGTATTATAGGCCTAGTTCGTTACAGTTACAGTTAGGGGAGGTGGTGGGTTGGCTGGGCCACCTTGAATACCTACTATTATAACATGTGTTTTTGACGTTCTCAACGTACAACTACAAACGATTGTAATTTTTAGTTCCTTTTCCCTTTTTTTTTGTGTAATCACAGTAAGTATGGATAATATGTAAAGTAAGCCTACATTATAATTAGTATAGTAGACTCATTTTTACGTTAACGAATAGTGTTTCATTTTTTAAATATCTTGTACAAATTGTTCAAGCTGGCGGTTCCTTCCTGTATGAAAAATGAACAACTACACTGTAACGGCATATGGATTTAAAGGGGTAAGGAGTCAGTGTAGGAATCCGCTGGGGATAATCGTACGCAGACACAATTGTTGAAGAATTTTCCGTCCAATAGGCGTGAATCTTCAACGAACCATAGTACAATCATTATGTTTAACAGCAGTCAGCCAGATGTTTAAGGCTCAAAACAATGTTATTTAAAATATAACAGAAAAATACTACATCTACATAATTATATAAGAACAGGGACACGCCTTGTGACCATAGTAACTCATCATATAGTTTTCTATATCGTGAAGTGCTTAACTATAGACCTGTAATATATAAGATATTAATAAAGTATACTGATGATCTTTTATGTTTGAGATGTTAGACCTAATAATAACATGGTAATGTTTCCCTGGTGAGCAGTGGAGGATTCAAGGGAAGGGGGAAGACGGCCCGGCCCCATCAAAATTATAAATCAAACTGGAAAAAAATAAAAATTGCATCCAAATTTTAGTCTCAGAGTGCCATTATCGGTCATATTGAGGTGCCATATTCATAAATTTTCTTGCCTCAGCCCCAACCATGGTGAGACCGTGGTCAAATCCTCCATTTGTGAAATTCCCTCCCTGGGCCCCCCTATTTCGATTTCCTGGATCCGCCACTGGTGAGCAGTGTATATATCAAAGAAACTATAAAAAATATTTATAGCTCTGTGGTAGGCTTTATATCACTACGACATACAAAATTGATCTTTTTCATCAAGTTCCCTTGGCTTCATAATGTGATGATTTATGTTTCATATGTGTACGATTAACATTGGAGTAATGTGAGCAGCGTTCAAATCCCAATCCGCCCTGACTCAGCTGTTTCGGTATACAGTTACCTGGATGTTCCAGTTTCCATTTTTATTTTGCATAGGATTTCAGTACTTCCGACAGTGGCACAGTGCGTGCTGTAGGTTTATTCTCAACACATAAATAATATATAATATAGAATGAAATAAATTAAAATTTGAACAATATAAGCTTAAAACGACAAGTAATAATTTCCATTGAATGTGAAAACGTTGTCAAATTTGTAGGCCTATCCCCACGATTGTCTTGGTAGGCCTATGCTCACGATTGATATAAGATGGGGGGGGGGGGGGCCTAAGTGACAATCGAGGACTTGTGGTTCAAGTAGGGAGGTTACGCCCACGATGGGTAACCTACATAGGTTTAGTAACTATTGATTGTTTATCATACGTAAGATTTATAAGTACACCTACGATACTGTAAGATAGATTGACATGCTATTTATTAAGCGCCAGGTACCATAGAACTCACCATTGTTCACCCATGGACCTTATTAATATGTCAATTAATATCAACTCATATAGGCCTATATCTGTCTCTTATACACATCTAGATGTGTGTAAATGTCATTAGGCTCTTCAGTAATACATGTCCCTGAACGACTGATACTAAACCTCTTTTGAGATTAGATAACGTTAGCTATATTGTTTAAAGTGCACTGTGAATGTCGCTCGGCAATATGGTGGCTTCTTCAAATAGTTTGACCATATGTTGTAGGCCTACGCTAGGTTAAGATAGTTGTGTTATTTACGTAGAGTGTTGTAGGCCTTGTGCCCTTAGGTGTTTCCTTATACCAGAGTTATACATGCTATCATGACATATTGAAGATTTTATATATGCCACAATATACAGGACACAGCCGCGCAATATACAAAAAAAAAGAGATACTGTTGATAATTTATGTACATATAATAGTACCCAATGCATTTTAACATTAATATAACCATAATAATTAAATATAATAAGACTTCGATATTATTGAAATATTACCAACTCGAATATGCTTGTTGTGCAAGCAATGGTATGATATTACTATTAGAACTATACCCTCGTTTTTTGGCGAAATAAATGACATGAAATGAAACTAAATATATTTAGTTAATTTTAGGTATACATTTGGTATTAAGTTTCGTAGTAATAATGATGATGCACGCTAATCACTGTCCTATTGACTGAACACAAAAGGAAGACCTTCAAGAGCTGCACAGCTGTTAATAAAGGGAATATGAAATATAGTCTAATTGCAGCAAAATCAGAAATCAGGATGATTATAGCAGTAGTCATAATGAACTGAAAATCAATATCTAACTTAACAGGAATCAAATTACACGTAGGCCTAAGAAGTGCGGTATAATTTGGTCCAATGATTAATTACTGAAGATGGAAGAAGCGACATAGAAATGAAAAGGAGGATTAATATAGCCCTTGGAGATAATTGGTTAAAATTCCTTCATCAAGAAGTATGACCGTCAAATTAGAAAAAAAAATAGTAAAAAATACAGTGCGGGAAGTAGGGACCATATTAATAATGAACTGATTAGCGTCTAATAATAAGAAAAAATAAACAAATACAGCCCCGTAGCATGGGGGTGGAGCTTAAGGGTGTTACGACGAACCGCCCAAAAACTGGAGAAGGTCCGCATTTTAAGAACGAAAAATGTATAGGCCTATTCGTAGATATTGCAATGTTCTCCAGAGTATCGGAGATAAGGGTTCACTTTCCACTGAAACGAACCTTCCACAAATTTGTCACGCTTCGGGCCTATATAGTGGCTCGTTTTAGCAAAAGATACTAGAAACACAAAATAGCGTTCTCCACAGGAAGCAACTGTTCCACCGAAACGTATGGTGGGAATACAAACAATGGGGCACCGCGTACGCCTGGACCAATTTCCGCCTCATTTTTGTTATGCTAGTGCTCTATCTTGTATTTCTAGTATCTTTGGTTTTAGCAACAGTGAAATAACCTCTCCTATAATAACCTTCACCGGTCGTGCATTTTAACCGAAGTTTGTATAATGTTTTTACCCGATCTTCCGTTCAGTGGTATATTTCCGGTCTCGATCCTATTAATACAATAATATTTTTTATGTTTTATACTGTAGACCTGGTTCTTAATCAGTGGCGGCTCTAGGATATATTTTCTGGGGTGGGGGGCTAAGTTGTCCAACAGGGGGACTTGAGCTCTTAGGCTCGAGCTGGGAGAAGGAGTTGAGAGGGGGAGATTTTTTAAAGACCTCTAGATGGCCGAAAATGGCACTCTCAGACTGTGACAGACATGTGTTGGCTTGGTGTGCGCCTATTTTATATGTTTTATGGTCTGACTGCCCGACGAGCTCTGTCCGGCGGGGGTGGGGGGCTTCACCTGTCCGGTGGGGGGATCCCCCTGTCACCCCGCTGGCGCCGCCACTGTTCTTAATGTGACCCGTGGGCCAAATTAGGCCCACAGAGTAATTCAGTTCTTCCAACGAGAAAAAAACAAAATAGTAAAATTATATTTAAAACAAACTAATATAGGCCTATATATAATAATGGTCGACTTGTAGACCTATGCGCTTAACACGTGAAAACAAAACGGACCAAGAAGTAATACTTAATCTAATTCTACAGACATGCTAATAAAACTCCTTAAACTATAACCATTCAATGTTTTAATCATTCGATAAATTCAATAAAGTAAAGACAAGAATTCAACCTCTGGGTTATGGGCACAAACAGCTGGATTTCGAAACTAGGCAAGCCATAAAAAGTTCAATACTGTAGTTTATAGGCATATAATATACACCGACTTATGTGCCGCCAAGTTTTGTCTCTCTGATTTGTTCTGTTCACTGTGTTCAATATTTTTTGAACTTCATTTTACATTCGGTTGTTAATAGAAACGTGTTTTACCAAGAACAGTATTCATAAAAATACAAAGGACATCGAGTACAATGCGGAAAAGAAATTAATCTAAAGTGCAATATCATAATGCACTTAAAGTTATGTTATGTTTACTTAGGTTTATGTGCTGCTAAACTACTAGTAGACAATGGGATTGATGTTCTTGTACTGGAGGCACGTGACCGAGTGGGTGGACGTACACACACAATACAGGTAATGTTTACACACAAAAGCCCCAACTTACAATGATTTAAAAAAAAGACATTATGGAAAATATATTGCTGAGTGAGTCTTCTCTAGCAACTAAAAATAAACATACATTTAAGGCTGTTTCACTGTGCTGGGTTAAATTATTTAAAATAATTACTAAATTATGAATAAAATTCAAATATTTAATTTGATAATTTTGTATATTGAAATTAGTATTTAGCATTTCAATTAAAACCTTCCCTATGTTCTGTACAAAAAAAAACACTCAGTTGATTGGTAATAATTTTAAGAATTTCTTACTACTAAAATTGCTTTTAAATCAATCTCCGAAATGTGTTCTGTTAAAGTTAATAATTCATTTGATTTTTTACTATAAACAATTCAGTATTGCATGGGTCCGAGGTTCAGCTTATTGTCAGGGGCAGGGATGGGGCGTGCGGGGAATGGGCTGTCGTTTGTTGTGTATGTTGGCAAATTTTAAAAACCTAAAATGTTAAACCTCTTGAGAGTTGTCCTTGTTTAATCTCTAGGATGCTTCAGTCGGTGGGTACGTTGATGCTGGTGGCTCGTATGTTGGACGTACTCAAGATCGTCTGCTCCGCGTTGCTGAGGAACTGGGTGTGGAGAGTTATCCAGTTGACGAAAATGCCCGGATGGCTTTTCTACAAAATGTAAGATCACTTGTCAATGAATGCGTTTGTAAAATCCTTAGGTCGATTAAACGGATTTTTTTCAAAAAAATCCTATATTTTAAATGAATGGGATGAATATTTTAGTGGATAATACCGATTCACCCTCTATTAATAAAGCCCATCTAGGACACCTCAACACAATTGCAGTACGGTATACGTTGTCCTATTGTTTTTCATCTGCTTCCGTTATCTCTTCTATAGATGTAATAAAATAAGATATTGTGAATTCAATATTGCTGTATATATGTTCATGCTGTATTAATGTTTTGGTCGACAGGGTAAGGTGTATCCATTCGAAGGCTCATTTCCGTCATTCTATAACCCAATCACCTGGATGGATGTCAATCACGTGATGCGAGAAATTGACTCAATTGGGAAAAAGGTGGCGTCAAAATATTACTTAAAATTATACATATCATCAGTACAATCACCAATATCAATCAGCATGACTCATTTCTAATCGTAGTCACTTTTTATCATTATTATTGTTATTATCATCATAAGCATGCTTATGATGTCATTATTGTCATTATTAATTTGGTTAATTGTTGCCTTTGTCATTGTCATCATCATCATCATTATGCTACCGCATCTCACAACGCCAACAACGCCACTACCAACTTGTCGTCGTCATCACCATCTTTATCATCATCATCATCTTCATCTTATCCTTGTCATCATAATCACTATTATCATCTTCACAATCATTTACATCATCATCATCATCATCTTCATCAACACCTTAAGTACTGATATACCTTATCTTGTCTGTTACTACAACAATCCATTGTCATAACCATATCTAGTATAGTGGCGGATTCAGAAATTCAAAATGGAGGCGGCCCAGGTAGGGACTTCCATAGATAGAGCGCCTGACCAAACATCGTGGGGCTGAAGTAAGAAATTGTATGGTTATGGTTTCTGTACATAAATAAGACTCTCAGCCCTAAATTTCAATACAATTTTATTTTGCTCATTTGTTTTCAAATTTCAGAAAGTACCTTTACAATATTATCGCCAGTTGGTTACTACTTCTATCCATTGTTGTTATCGTACTCATTGCCACTATCATCACCATCGTCATTGCCAACGTCGATTGTCACACTAAACATTAATATTTTCATATAAAAAAAATTCTATAATTTAAGCAGGGGCGGATTCAGTAGGGGGAATGGGGGGCACGGGCCTTCCATTCTTCTGTTTTGCCGCTAAATTTTAAAAATTTCGATGCAAATCAATGTTGTGTGCTACTCACTTTCTATTTTTAAACTGTTGTGCCCCAACCCCAGTTTGAAAAATTTTGGATCCGCCCCTGTTTTAAGGAATGCAAAAAGTTGGCGAAATCTCCAACATTGATCTGTTCATAGAGAAAGGATGTAAATCTGTTGAAGCTGCCCGGCTGAACGATATTTAGACTCAGATACGATAACCTTCGTCTAAACTGTTTGATTTGTTTAGATACCAGCTGCTACTCCCTGGGATTGTCCCAACGCAGAGAAGTTGGATAACACAACGCTACAGAAATGGATTGACGATACTACATGGACAAAGTTAGTAGGCCTTAATACACATTTTTATGTAAACATAACTAAGACAACCTTAACGAAGTATAAACATGAATAGTTAACATAACTACATAATTTAGCACTAATTTTGGTAGAGTTTGGGATAATAATCATCGTCGTCATCAGAGGCGACGCCAGGATTTCCCGGATAGATGGGCCACGCCCTCATCAACCCAACTCTCGGGCGCACTGTCTTTGGTTTATAAAATATTTGTAACTATTGGCCTAAGTTTTTCACGACAGGTTTTTACCTCGACTCCCGACGGCTGAGCGTGGGTCCAGTTGGCCAACAGGTTCCCAACAAACATGACAGATAATGGGTGAGACCAGGTGGAGAGTTCAAACAAAAAGTACATAATACTTCGTATATTCTCCGCAGGGAAGAACCTTACAACTTGCTTAATAAAAAAAAAAACAACAATTATCAGAAAAGCATCAAAATTCAGTATCTTCTACGTAAGCTGAAGAAATAATTTTATATGAAACTTTTTGATATGCTTCCAACCTTTTTGATATGCTGACCATCTCTCTAGCTTGGGACAGAACCTCTATTATTTTTAAACAGCTTTCATTCCAAAGCAAGCGTTGATGAAGTGTACCATAGGCGTACTCGACATTTAAAAGTCCTTTTATATACATCACTAAACATACAGTCGTGGGGGGAAATGAACACTATAAAGACAACTTTCTAAGTCTTATTTTAATAAGTAAGCGTTTCAGATTGAACATGCAGCCACATGGCTGATCAATTTGTAGAACAGTCCAATTGCTGTCTCTTATACACATCTAGATGTGTATAAGAGACAGCTAATGAATAGGCCTGTAGTAGACGTAATTTAACCCACACTACACTAGTTTCCATTTTCCGTAAACTTTTAGCTCATGGCTCGCATACTTAATCCCAAAAAAATCTGGGTGACATTATTTTAATTCACTCTGGTTTAGTTACCATTGAGAACTCTGCTGATGATATTTGCTTTCAACCGTTTTATTCCTTATTATAGCCTATAATATGTATGTAGGCATATGTATCTCATAATACGGTATACCAAATACAATATTATATTATATCTATAGCTATTGTATTCTATTGGACAACCCAATTCCATAGGACAAATTGCAGCTAGGATTGCTTTATTTTTACTACAGATCGTATAGTTTTCTTTGTTTTGCACATTGACGATAGCATATTTTGTACATATCTTTTGAAGGACAGGCAGGAACCTTGCCAAGACTTTATGTCAGCTGATCGTAACGTCTGAGCCAACAGAAGTATCGTTGTTATTCTTTGCATGGTACATCAAGCAATGTGGTGGCTTCCTGCGAACCATATCAACCAAATATGGCGGACAAGTAAGGACGTCCTCGTAATTTGTTAACTGTCACGAAGATCATGTTTAAGTTATACGTATATTCACTAATGAAGAATAGTATATTAGTGTTATAATATTAAGTTTTATATGAACTGCATTATATTCTAGAAAGTTAGAATGTATGCTATGTATGTATGGCCTAATTGCATTATATATTACATTACATTAACATTGCATTGCATCATATTTTATCGCATTACATTAAATCACATTATATTATGTTACATATACTTTACATATATTATATTATATTATATAATATACTTTATATTATATTATATTTTGTTATATATCATATAATAATCGTGTGTAAACTAGGAAAAGAAGTTCATTGGTGGCTCGCAGCGGATTTCTCTCGGACTAATGGACAAAATCGGAAAAGACCGCATAATTTTTGACAATCCGGTGTATTCTATCGACCAATCAGGAGATGTCGCCATCATCAAGACGTTAGGAGAAAAGACGTATAAGGTAAGCCGATTAATTGATCATTCAAATTTCCAAGGTGCCTATTAGTATGTCTTAAAAAAGGAATATTTGTGTAATAACCACTACCATGATCACTGTTATCTAATCGCTCTCTTCTGACGAATGGGCACACTGATGGTGATCATGGTGGTAATGAGGACGATGATGATTATAAATACGTACCAGCATTTAAGATAAGTATATGACCTATTGAGTTTAACTAAGAACAAACTAATAAGTATTGTTAATGATAAAATATACAAATACTAAAACGAAATTAATGCATATTATTTGAAAAATATAGCATTAATAGTGAACAAGATTAATAGAAGTCAATTCTAATTTTTGTTTTAGGCCAAGCATGTGATTTTGGCGATGTCACCAGCGTTGATCCAGAAGGTTCACTTCAATCCACCACTACCACCGCTTAAAAATCAACTTGCTGCTCGGTGTCCCATAGGTTCTGTTATCAAATGTATGATTTACTACAAAACCCAGTTTTGGAGAAACAGAGGTAGGGTCTACTTTCTATGATTTTATTTTTATATACAGTATATGCCTATCGCCCCCAAAAAGGTTTGGAGAAATTATTGGTCAGGTAGGCCTATATATTTTTAGATTCTCTTTGTTCACTTGTGTGTAGGTTTCTGTGGTTCATCGTGGAGCATCGATCCAGATCTTCCGGTCGAGTGGTCTTTGGATGACACTAAACCCGATGGCACCGCTCCAGCTTTGGTCACGTGAGTCAAACAGTCGTGAAACCTATCCACTGTCCCCCACCCATTCAACCCATTATTTTTAAATACAAGTCTCCTTCTAATGAAAGACCATATTTCTGTGCCCCCTAAATTAACCTTTTATCTTTCATTTATAATAATTTTTTTTTAAAGACCAAAGTTGTTAAAAACCCTGGTCGCAAAAGTGGCCTATTAACCAGATGTTAATCATCCTGTTGCATAAAGACGAATCTTCCTTATCGGAGGAATGTCTGGTTTTGAATGAGAGATTATAACCTAATTATAATTATTGCAAATGAGCATGATAGCTGAATGCGTCCGTCAACATAGACTTTGCAACATAAACCCAAGCCCACACGATGCCTTAAGATCGACAACCTATAACTTCTACCATTTCTTATAAATTTTATTTTCAAAACAGGTTTATAACAAACGAAAACACAACTTCTACAATTTCTTATAAATTTTATTTTCAAAACAGGTTTGTAACAAACGAAAGCACAACTTCTACATTTTCTTATAAATTTTATTTTCAAAACAGGTTTATAACAAACGAAAACACAACTTTTACAATTTCTTATAAATTTTATTTTTAAAACAGGTTTATAACAAACGAAAACACAACTTCTACAATTTCTTATAAATCTTATTTTCAAAACAGGTTTATAACAGCAAACAAGGCGAGAAAGTTCTGTCAGCTGACTGAAAACGAAAGGTAAGCTATGTACAGAAAACTTGAGTTTGGTAAAGACATTAACATATTTGGAATGTTTTGGTTATTATTTCAAATCTCAAAAGAACTAAGTGTCAATGGAACTACTGTTTTAATAATGGAATAATAATGATAATAATAACTTACAAACAAATTTAGAGGGATAACATTTTCATATAAAAAATATGTTCTAACAAATGGTCAATGAATTAAATATAAAGCAAACAATTTACAAATAATAATAATAATAATAATAATAATAATAATAATAATAATAATAATAATAATAATAATAATAATAATAATAATAATAATAATAATATGTGTTTGTATTCATTACTAGACGTGATAAACTGTGTCGGTATTACGCTAAGGTGTTCGGGACAGACGAAGCAATGCATGTAAGTCGTTATAATAGCCAAACAACGGTTGCCACGTTACGGTACTTACTGTATAAAACACCAGTCATTCAATGTAATAAGTGCTAACATAATCAAGCTCAGTTGACAGTTTTGATATATTCGTAGTGAGTACGTTCGGCCATAATTATGATATCTCCACTTTATAACCCCTCTGATAAAAAAAAATGCAGCCCTCATAAAACCATCAAAATTGAACATTTACATTATAAAATGCTTCAGCCCAAAGTGATTTTTTCCCTGACCTTAAAAGTGTGTTTAGCTTTGTTTCCTCTATGTTGTGTTATTGAATAAAAATAGCTAAACAGTTTTATATCATTTTAAGTTAGTTTTGCCTAGACCTGCTCATCAATAATAGAAATCTTTATATTATATATACAGCCAATCAACTACTTGGAGAAAAATTGGATGGCAGAGACATATTCCGCAGGCTGCTATACTACGGTCTTCCAGCCGGGCACTATTTGCCAATACGGAAGGTAGGTTTCATCAACACCAATACATTTCAACAGTAT